TGGCCTTCCTTAGCACGTGCCCATACCATCGCAGGCGCTGTTCCTCGCACCTTCAGCTGGACAGGGGCAGTCTGCATGACCGCTCTGACATCCTCGTTTCTGACCCTGTCCAGCCGCGTCCAGCCGCAGGCCCACCTCAGCATCCTCATCTCAGCGGAGAAGCTGCCTTTCGTGATTCTTGTTCAGGGGCCAGCACTCGCTGCCGTAGCATCGCAGGCCTTACCACTGTCGGTACACCTTCCCTTTGAGCGTTCTGGAGCACCTTCGATCGCAGAGGATTCCAGTGGACTCCCTCCATTCCATCCACACAGCGTTGAGGATTACCCAGCCTTCGACGCGAGGAATAACTGGACGTCTGTTTCAAGGTGTTCGCGATCATCGCAATTTTTCTCCTCCAAAAAAACCAGCACACAAACGTGATATATGGTGATTGGTTGGTGCACCATCGGTGGATTACAAAGTGCGGTGGAGAACCGTGGACCGAGTTTTGTATAAGATCCTGACTTTTGCTCGTGACATGTGGTGTGCAAGTTAGTGTGAAGTGGAACAATTTCATCTATCGGAAGTCTCAATTTCTGCGATATACGAAGCAAGTCGCAGCTGCTAGCACGAGGGGACTGCGCTAGCAGAGGTGGTGTTTAAGACTGTAATGATGCAAGCGAAAATCGGAGAGCGAAGTCTGCTCGGAGTGAAGGTCACCTCTTGGAGCTCGCTGTCTCGCAGTGCTGCATGCCACCACTGATGCCTCCATATATTGCTTGAATAGGGAGGAGTACTGACGGTCGAATTTTGTAATATGAAATGTACTAAGGTGGCCACGTTAGTGCTCTACTGGGAACATCACAACCATTTCTCCGGGAAGGGTGGTACGGGTATGAATAAATCGGCACTTACTCACGACTTAAAGGCAAGCCCCGGGATAAAACTGGTGTATAAGGGTGCTTTGTAGTGAGGACGGAAGGAACTGAAAGTGGAAAGGAAAGCAAGAGAAATCATCGGAAACGCTAAAATTAAGGCCTTAACCTCAGTAAGGTCGGATGTGGTACGATGGCGAGACAGGGCGATCAAAGAAGACAAACGCGAGAGAGCACGCTGATCTCTACATCAATAGCGGTGGGTGGGAAGCGTTGCAGCGAGGGTCGATGGTTGCAGGCCCGTAAGGATTAGCCCTAATCGCGCAATTTTGGGCAACGAAGCTGGAGTGATCTAGGTAGGTACGGACCTCACAATTTCCCTCGCGGTATCCTTCCTACTAGTCGGGCTAATCCCGGGTTTGCCCTCAAGCTAATATATCGCCAGCTCTACCGTGTGTTACCTTATTGTGGCTACGCTTTGACGTTTTTGTCATTGAGCGATGTGTTTGCGTTTCAAAATAAATAGATATATAACTAGATCTGGAAAACTTGAAACGCAGAAGGTACTAACCTCTCATCATGTCCCAAAGAAACTTTCTATTCTCCACTTCATCGTCGCCTCCGCTCAATATGTTGAGAAGGTTCTCCTCAGAATCATCAGTCATCTAAAACGAAGCTCGCTTGAAACGATGGTCAAAAAAGCAAGCAAACACAGGCAAGTTTGTTCAGCACAGTGGAATTTATAGGATTATGAAGAATATTAATAAGAAGGGATTTCCAAGGCATTCCGAGCACTCGATTCTCTTAGGTTGTTCGTCACACCTGGCTTCGCAGTGGATTGCTGTCGTCCCTTCTCATCTTCCTTCGTCCCATCGGGGCTCCTGGGTCGGGATCGAATTGCTGGTCGGGATCGCAGGACCTCTTGCAGCAAGTAGTGCGCAGATTTTGGACCCAAGCATATCGTCCTCCATCTTTATTTATACGCGACACTTGCATTGCGCAAATGCCTCGAGGGTAACGCAAATGCCCCAAGGGTCGTAACATCACGCCTTGCTACCACTATGGTGAAGATGTGTATGGAAAGTAGAGTCTGTAAATCCTAATATCAGTTAACGATATTCGGTGCTCCTGTATCCATCCTGCTTAATAGCCTACTAAACTACAATTGCTACGATATCCTGTTTACTGCAATCTGTTCCTTTTTTATGAGGTTACTTCTACTTCCATCTAAAATTCACTCTTCAGTGGTCTAGTCGTGGCAACTAACCTCGTTGTACATATTGAAAGTGAAAAAATCGTTGTCGACGAGGAACGTAGCCGTCCGTGGCATACTCCTTTTAAAGTGGTTAAGCGATACCGAATCAAAAATAAGCAATGCAATCGAAGGTTGTTCCTAAAAAAACAGAATTAAAAATCAAATGCCTAAATGCTCTTTATTGGAGCAGACATGTCCTTTTATAACAGCCATTTTATAGTTATTTTATAACAACTTTCTGAAGTGAAGATCAGCCTCAGATGGGGGACAAATTCGCCGACTCGGGCCTTCATTTATGGCAAGTATAAAGTTGGAAAACGAAGCGAAATGGTTCTGCGATAGTGAATGGAAGTGGAACGGACGGCTCATCTCAAAAAACGGTATGGTCCGAATCGATTGCTACCTAGCCTTCTAGTGGCACACCTTTCGAGTTGTTATGTGAATCAGAGTTGAATCAGCTTCATTGCAATAGAAATAAGCATTAGTTTGAAGAATGCACAGATTAACCCAAAGTACTGAAACTCGGATATTGTCGCGAATCGCACGAAATAATCATCAGTTCCAATCCTGTACGTTACACCATTTTTGCTAAATAAGGAACAGTATTCAAAATTTTACAAATCAGATCTTCTCCCATAAAGTTTGATGCGAGGCCTCCTGTCGCTTGGGGGAAGTACCATCGTAGCGCAGGTGTCATGAAGATTCCCCGAGACCCTTCCAAGTGCTGCTTGTGACAATTACGGTCCCTCAACGAGTACTTGTATACGAATAGTTGTATACTCCCCTTGAGAAAATCGTACTCGTAAGTGCTACTACAAGTCTGAATGGATCTTGTTCATTTCGGAGCGATTCTAGAAGCCGAGCGCCGAAACATGTTCTGATGATTGAAGGCGGATTTTACAATTGAATGGTCGCCCAAGGAAGTGACAGACGTGGTCAAAGGCGCTGGTGAAAGAAAAAGCAAGACAAGAGCGTCCCCTAATCCCCTAAAATGGCACCCCTTCTTTGCTTGTTGACTTCCGCTTGGCACGAGCCAGCGACCAAGGCAAGCTCGTTTGCAGGTGTTGAATAAGATAGCCAGTACATGTCAGCAGTCGTCATATTTTGATTGACAACGCATCACCCAGGAAAAGTAGAAGATACTACCAATCATGAATTCCCCTTCAAATAAAGGCAAGTAGCTGATACAGCAGCATTCAACGTGCTTTGGTTATTACATGGCCGCTGGTGGGCGTGGCACGTCGCAAGCGTCGTCGGTACGACCCTTACGGGCCGTCAGAGGCATGCCCTTTGTTGCGAAAAGTACATTGTCCTTCATTCTTAAGAGGCCCGCCTGCCCTTCTACTAGGAATATTTTGAATTCTTCGGTCTCCGACCTTATCCTGAAATGATCCTAAAAAATGGTGTTATGAAAATTGAGATATAGAAGAAGGGAAGGTATGCATACAGCAAAAAGACTGCGGCCTCCAAATAAGTCAGTAGAGGCATGCATCACAGCGAAGGCCGCATCCATCGTCGCGTAGTTAACCACAACCCTGTCCAGTGTCGCCTGTAGTGGTCTGGCCCGCCTAAACGCCGTCCTTTGCTCTTTATTTTGTAAAGGAATTTTGTCAAGCGGTTGCACCTTTCAGTTTTTCTAGATTATGTGTTACCAACGAAAAGATAATATTTGTTGGCATATTGCTGGCAACCAGGATCAACGCATTCAAATGACCTCGCCTTGGTCAGTGGCTCGTCACAAGCGGAAATCAACGGGGAAAGAGCGGCTCCATTTCCTTCCTCTCGGATTTTTCTTGACCGGTGCACCCTATACCACCTCTCAGCCCCAATGGGCAACATTTTTCGTATCATCCATCAAGGAGAATTCCACGATAAGAACGAGGTCGAAGAAGAAGAAACTATTCTAGTGGGGAAACAAGCAGAGCAACACACAATTCGCATCGAATGATATGCTCCGGCAATCTAACATGGTCTTCATTTTGGCAGTTGGCGGGGTGTTGAAGAGGGCACAACGATGAGAGTCGCATCAATGCGGAAATCAACGGGCAAGGAAGGGGTCCCATTTCTCGGGTTTTGGGCCGTTTCAACATGGTTTCTTCTTCATCCCTGCTCCACTGACCACCTCTACCCTTATTTCCAATGAGCTGTCTTTTCGTTGGAAAACCTGGCTTTGATGACAATCCGAGAAAGAAGAAACCATTTTACCGTTCCGGTTAGCGTCATGAGGGTATTCTATGATTCCGCAGAAGGTCAAAAAAGTGCTCTACTGCAAAAAAAAACGAAAAAAAAACGAAATAAAAATTTGAGCGAATAAGAAAAGGGAAATATTGACGGATTCTCGTAAATAGTCTTAGTTAGTAAATTGCGCCCCGTCTGTATATAATGCGTTGATGTTTGTTTTTTGATCGTGGCAGAACTCGGCATTATACACGGAATCACCCGGTAGGATGGGTCAAGTGTGGAAGGATAGAGCGCTGGCAACGATGTACAGAGCCACACGAACAAGCGTAGCCCCTTCACAATGCAGGAACGTGCAGCAAAATGCGCACTGCAAGCAGCAAAAAAGCACTGTTTTAGAATAGCCCACAGAGTGGGAAAATGGATAAAGGTAAACAGCAAATGGTAGATGATATGAACGAGTTCCATCCTAGTGAGCGGGTCGTTCTCAAAATGAGTGCTTCTTACTAAAGGTTTCACTAATCACTTCCAAAAGAGCCTAAGTACCAGCAAAGCATCAGCTGGGATCACACAATGCCTCGGATCTTAGATGAAGACGAGGCTAAAATTTAAAAAAGTCAATTTTTGGGCGTATCGAAAAGTGGAGTACTTCGTATGGAAAAGAAATTCATGAGCTGCACTCCTGGATAAAATGTATATTAGCCGCAAGCTTCTATGAAAGTTCAAAGAAATCAGTCACACATAAAATCTAATGGAAGATGTCCACTGACCGGATCATTTTCCACAAATTTCGGCTCACTTGCTGGTCCCTGAAAAAAATCGGTTACAGTTGCAATAGAATAGACAAATAATTAAAGGAGAAAACTTCTTAACAAGAAGAACAAGAACATCTTTAGTAGAACAAAGTTCACGTCTTCACTCACACTGGGCATCGGTACGTTCACAAACGCTTTATCATACACCATGTCTTTGGCTAGAGAATCGCGATAACATTTTGACGACGAACTGATCGTGACGAATCCTTTTTGGCTCATTGAACTCGATCTGTTGAACAGAAATATTTCAGTGCTTCCCGTGAAAATGAAAATTATTCAAAGAACTTGGTTCGTAAAACGATGAAATGGCCACTCCAACTTAAACTGAATTTTCTTGTACACATTCAGCCGTGTCGTTCATCTATGCCGGTGCGAGAACTTTCCTGCGAGCTCTTCACGGCTCACACACCCATACATTAACGTGCAGTCCTTGAGAAGATGGCCAGCAAACTAGCCGGGAATTCTCTTCGGGCATTTTTAGGAGAAGCAAGCAGGTAACCGCTCCATCCAGTGGGAAAAGAAACCCGACCCAACCCTCACGAAATCTGGTAATCAGCTAAGCCTCGCAGAAACTACGCTAGCTAACAATAACTACGTAGATAGTACATGAGCTCGACGTTCGATAAATCTTGGCATCGTGTGTGGTCTTTTTGGATATGCTTCTGGAGCCACAAGCCAAGATGGTACAACAACTTTATTCGGCTAACGACTAAGACTCTAGACTCTAGCGGTGGTCTCAGCAAAATCCTACCGTGCGTTCTAAGGCTCTGACGAAGGCGACCAAGCCGAAACGTTAGCCGAATAAAGTTGTTGTACCATCTTGGCTTGTGGCTCCAGAAGCATATCCAAAAAGACTACGTAGATAATTTTGGAGTGAACGTCTAACCATAAATTGATCGAAAGCGATAGCGTTACAATCAAAGCCTCGATTCTGCTTGGCATCGTACAACCGTTTCTCGCTTATCTTTCGTTTGATGCTGATATTTGTTGTAATATTATATATTGCCCGGGGTGGAAGTGTTGTTGTAGTTAACGATGCTGCTTACCCTCTGCAGAATTTAGGGATCAAATCCTGGATTCCGTTGTCCAGGCCAACCAAACCCTCTCTACCTCCGGGGTAGGTTAATTACTATACGTACGTGCTTGGAGAGGATAAAAAACATTGACCTGTGCATCGGGTTGCCCTCCAGCCATTTCGCACTAATAGTGCTACCACAATTCTGAACGGAAATGGAGTGCGCGGCGCATGCCAGGATGGGCCTTCAACTTCTGCCCTCATCCCTTACTCTTATCAGAACTTATTCGCACCCACAATCCAATTAGACTCTTAAGAGAACTCGCGGTCAGCCAGGACTCGTCGTCCTCTGAATTCTTTGGACTTCGAGAGATAACCACCAAATCACTGAGCCAAGTTCTCCTTCCCCAACCTCACT